ATTGGTTGCCAGACCGAGGGGTGGAGCATAATTGCAAAATCCATATTCGCTAAAAAAAATTGTCATTTTAAACATATTTTAAGTTTCTATAAAAAAAAATCATCACAATTGAGATGGGGTGGGTGGGTGGGGTTTATATTTTGCCTTTTTTTCTTAATATACTTAGTAATTTATTGTAAAGAAATAAGTATTTTGCAGTTAAGTTTCGCCCTCTTAGTACACGGCGAATAAAAAAAAATCATCACAATCGAGATAGGGCGGGTGGGCGGGCTTACATTTTGTCTTTTTGTTTTAATATGTGTAATTTTTTTTTTCACCACATGGAAACTTAAAACATGTTTAAAAAGGAAAATTTAGATACCGATTTTGCAAATAGGCTCCGCCCCATAATTTCAAAATCCATATTTCCGTGCTAAAATGTAACATTTTAACCATTCATGTTCTAAGTTCCTTATTGTGAAAAGATGGCTACGTATGTTAAGAAAAAAAAAAGGCAAAATATAAGCCCCTCCCACCCGCCTTATTTCAATTCTGATGATTTTTTTTATTCGTCGTAAGCCGAGGGGCGGAGTTTAATTGTAAAATCTTTTTTTTTTACGAGAAATCACCATGTGAAACATGTTTTTAACTACCTATGTTCTACAAAAAAAAACTAAATGTAGGTATTAATTGAAAAAGAAAACCAAAAGAGAAGCCCCACCCATCCGCCCCGACCTTAATCGGGATGAATTTCTTATTTGTTGCCAAACCTAGAGGCGCAGCCTAATTGCAAAATCCATATTTTCTTAAAAAAAATTACCATTTTAAACATATTTTAAGTTTCTATGAATAAAAAAAATTATCACAATTGAGATGGGGTGGGTGGGCGGGGCACCATTTTGCCTTTTTTTTCTTAATATGCATAGTAATGTTTGAACAACACGAAACTCGAAAACATATCTTAATTTCTTGTAAAGAAATAAGTATTTTGGAGTTAAGCTCCGCCCCCTTGGTTCACGGCGAATAAAACAAAATTAGGCTCCGCCCCATAATTGCAAAATCCATATTTCCTTACAAAAATATTGCATTTTAACCATGTAAGTTTCTTGTTATGAAAAAATGGCTATCTATGTATATTAAAAAAAAAGGCAAAAAGTAAGCCCCACCCACCCGCCCTATCTCAATTCTGATGATGATTTTTTTTACTCGTCGTAAGCCGAGAGGCGGAGCTTAATTGTAAAATCCTTTTTTTTACGAGAAATCACCATGTGAAATATGTTCTTAAGCACTTATGTTCTACAAAAAAAAAAAAAAACTAAATGTAGGTATTAATTGAAAAAGAAAACTGAAAACCAAAAGAGAAGCCCCACCCATCCGCCCCGATCTTAATCGGGTTGAATTTCTTATTCGTTGCCAGACCTAGGGGCGCACCCTTATTGCAAAATCCATATTTTCTTTAAAAAAATTACCATTTTAAACATATTTTAAGTTTCTATGAATAAAAAAGTTTATCACAATTGAGATGGGGTGGGTGGGTGGGGCACCATTTTGCCTTTTTTCTTAATATGCATAGTAATGTTTGAACGACACGAAACTCGAAAACATGTCTTAATTTCTTGTAAAGAAATGAATATTTTGGAGTTAAGCCCCGCCCCCTTGGTTCACGGCGAATAAAACAAAATTAGGCTCCGCCCCATAATTGCAAAATCCATATTTCCTTACAAAAATATTGCATTTTAACCATGTAAGTTTCTTGTTATGAGAAAATGGCTGTGTATATTAAAAAAAAGGCAAAATGTAAGCCCCGCCCACCCGCCCTATCTCAATTCTGATGATGTTTTTTTTTATTCGTCGTAAGCCGAGAGGCGGAGCTTAATTGTAAAATGCTTATTTTTTACGAGAAATTACCATGTGAAATGTTTTTAAGTACTTTTGTTCTACAACGAAAACCAAAAAAGAAGCCCCACCCATCCGCCTCGATCTCAATCGTGATGAATTTTTCATTCGTTGTCAGACCGAGGGGCGGAGCGTAATTGCAAAATCGATATTTCCTTATACAAATTTACAATTTTAAATTTGTGTTAAGTTTCTTGTTGTGAAAAGATGACAACACGTATTAAGAAAAAAAAGCAAAATATAAGCCCCGCGCACCCGCCCTATCTCAATTGTGATGATTTTTTTTTTTCGTCGTAAGCCAAGAGGGCGGAGCTTAACTGCAAAATAATTATTTCTCAAGGAGAAATTAAAAACATGTTTTTGAATATCTTGTTGTTCAAATAATACTATGTATATTAAGAAAAAATTAAAGCCCAAGATTAAGCCCCCGATGGGGTGGGTGGGGTTTATATTTTGCCTTTTTTTCTTAATATACTTAGTAATTTCTTATAAAGAAATAAGTATTTTGCAGTTAAGCTCCGCCCCCTTGGTTAACGGCGAATAAAAAAAATCATCACAATCGAGATAGGGCGGGTGGGTGGGCTTACATTTTATCTTTTTGTTTTAATATGTATAAATTTCTCTTTCACAACATGAAACTTAAAGAAAAAAAAAAGGCAAAATATAAGCCCCGCCCGCCCACCCTATTTCAATTCTGATGATTTTTTTTATTCGTCGTAAGCCGAGGGGCGGAGCTTAATTGTAAAATCCTTTTTTTACGAGAAATCACCATGTGAAATATGTTCTTAAGTACTTATGTTCTACAAAAAAAACTAAATATAGGTATTAATTGAAAAAGAAAACCAAAAGAGAATCCCCACCCATCCGCCCCGATCTTAATCGGGATGAATTTCTTATTCGTTGCCAGACCTGGGGACGCAGCCTAATTGCAAAATCCATATTTTCTTAAAAAAAATTACCATTTTTAACATATTTTAAGTTTCTATGAATAAAAAAAATTATCACAATTGAGACGGGGTGGGCGGGCGGGGCACCACTTTGCCTTTTTTTCTTAATATGCATAGTAATGTTTGAACAACACGAAACTCGGAAACATGTCTTAATTTCTTGTAAAGAAACGAGTCTTTTGGAGTTAAGCTCCGCCCCCTTGGTTCACGGTGAATAAAAAAAAATTAGGCTCCGCCCCATAATTGCAAAATCCATATTTCCTTACAAAAATATTGCAATTTAACCATGTAAGTTTCTTGTTATGAAAAAATGGCTGTGTATATTAAAAAAAAGGCAAAATGTAAGCCCCGCCCACCCACCCTGTCTCAATTGTAATTATTTTTTTTATTCATCGTGAGCCAAGAGGGCGGAGCATAACTGCAAAATAACCATTTCTCGAGGAGAAATTAAAAACATGTTTTTGAGTATGGTCTTCAAAGAATACTATGTATATTAAGAAAAAATTAAAGCCAAAGATTAAGCCCCAGCCATATTTGCCCTGATCTAAATAGTAATGAAGTTTTCATTGGTTGCCAGACCGAGGGGTGGAGCATAATTGCAAAATCCATATTCGCTAAAAAAAAATGTCATTTTAAACATATTTTAAGTTTCTATAAAAAAAATCATCACAATTGAGATGGGGTGGGTGGGTGGGGTTTATATTTTGCCTTTTTTTCTTAATATACTTAGTAATTTATTGTAAAGAAATAAGTATTTTGCAGTTAAGTTTCGCCCTCTTAGTACACGGCGAATAAAAAAAAAATCATCACAATCGAGATAGGGCGGGTGGGCGGGCTTACATTTTGTCTTTTTGTTTTAATATGTGTAATTTTTTTTTCACCACATGGAAACTTAAAACATGTTTAAAAAGGAAAATTTAGATACCGATTTTGCAAATAGGCTCCGCCCCATAATTTCAAAATCCATATTTCCGTGCTAAAATGTAACATTTTAACCATGCATGTTCTAAGTTCCTTATTGTGAAAAGATGGCTACGTATGTTAAGAAAAAAAAAAAGGCAAAATATAAGCCCCGCCCGCCCGCCCTATTTCAATTCTGATGATTTTTTTTATTCGTCGTAAGTCGAGGAGCGGTGCTTAATTGTAAAATCTTTTTTTTACGAGAAATCACCATGTGAAATAAGTTCTTAAGTACTTATGTTCTACAAACAAAAAACTAAATGTTGGTTTTAATTGAAAAAGAAAACCAAAAGAGAAGCCCCGCCCATCCGCCCCGATTTTAATCGGGTTGAATTTCTTATTCGTTGCCAGACCTAGGGGCGCAGCCTAATTGCAAAATCCATATTTTCTTAAAAAAATTACCATTTTAAACATATTTTAAGTTTCTACGAATAAAAAAATATATCACGATTAAGATGGGGTGGGTGGGCGGGGCACCATTTTGCCTTTTTTTCTTAATATGCATAGTATTGTTTGCACAACACGAAACTCGAAAACATGTCTTAATTTCTTGTAAAGAAATGAGTATTTTGAAGTTAAGCTCGGCTAGCCTTGGTTTATGGCGAATAAAAAAAAATTACGCTCCGCCCCATAATTGCAAAATCCATATTTCCTTACAAAAATATTGCATTTTGACCATGTAAGTTTCTTGTTATGAGAAAATGGCTGTGTATATTAAAAAAAAAAAAAGGCAAAATGTAAACCCTTGTAGTTAATACCTAATCTGTTTTGAGACGAATAGCAATCAATATTCTTGATATTTAAAAAAAAAAACAAGAGAAAGCGAAATCTGAAATAAAGTATGGAGTTCAATAGGCGATAGAACTCCTCAGTTTTGAGCTTTTGCAAGACTGTTACATAATTGACCGTATCATCCACTCTTCGAGGGTTATCAGACCTAAAGGTAAGCGCACCCCACGAAGAAATAGTACCACACGAGAAACATAATTAAAAAGTTTAATTAAAATCCACCCTCCTAACATTGCCGCAATTGACCAAGGAAAACATTTTCAATACCATGAATGGCCTCGGAAACGCTACGCCTTGAGTGCCGCCGTCGAGAATAAAAGTTCAATTCAAGTCGCAAAATATTGTTAAACCTATAAGAAATAATTAAACCTGAAACAAACTATATATGGACAACCCATTATTATTATTAAGTATACAGGATATAATAAAAAAACTCGAAAGCACAAATTTATTTTTCTACTCTATTCTCAAACAGTGGCTACTAAAAAAATGGGTGCATCTACCACACCACAAAACCAACATCCTTAAGTACTGGGTGCTCCACACCACTTCGTAATGAACGACAAAACGTTGGGCACGTTCGACTCGGGCGCCATTTTTGACCCCATATTCAGCTTCGACCAGATATCTTTATTGGCTTGATTTGAAGATTTCGCAAAACTGACAGCCTGTTTTCGGATCGGGTACCCCGACACTATACAGGGTTGTTCTCCTGGTTGGAGACACGCCTCATACAGTTGCCTGTCGTCTATAGGTAGCGTCTAAAATCACTCAGTCGTAAAAAAAAATTAGTTTGTGTGACAACATCACCTGATCTATGCGTTGATCCATACTCACAGTCAAAACCCATTCTCTAACATTGTCGTGCTCGCGTGGGTCCTCACCCAAATACAGTCGACTCGGAAGAGGAATATTCGACGGAAAGTCAGTCTGGACTAGATCAGAGTGATCCACCAGTTGACCTTCTCCCTCTTCAATCGCCTCACACAAGTCCAAATAATGATTAAGAAAAACGAACGCTTCCGAGAGTTTTCCCTCTTCTTTCAGATCTTTCCCCGCTTCGTAGAAAGCCTTATCAGCAGGGATGATATCAGTGTACCTCAACAAAGCCGCACTGATTTTCACCCCTATTGATTTCAAAGACGGGACTTGGCGACAAGCCGACCTTAAGGCGTAATAGTGCGAAATGAGTAGCAAATTCCTGAAATGAAGTTTCGTTTCCATGTTGATATTGGCAGCCACTTCTAACCCCTCGTTCTACAACATAACCAAGTCAAACCGGTACCGTACAAATTGGCTAACCCACAATTTCAAAAAGCATTTGTCTTAGTTGCTCCCAAACCCCGAAACTAGACGGACCCGAAATATCCGGCAGGGCAAAAATTTCCGAGGCTATGTGGTTGTAGATGTTGAAGTTTTGGGGCATCGCGGGGGCACCGTACGTGGAATAGAGGTTCAAAGATTCTTTAATAAACCCGTCTTTGAGTAGCTTGGCGGCGTACAAAGCCACGTACTTGTGTAAAATAGGGGCACTATGGGTTTTAGCTTTTTCGATACAACGAGCCCATTGTCCTTGCTCGGCCAACAAGTCTAAGGCTCCAATGATGTCTAAAATAGCGTGATAAAAGTGGAAATGGGTGGGTGTTAACGTACCAACGTCGGCGAGTTGCTCAACGTCGCCTTTTTTCAAAAGGCGATCCTTATATTTGCTTTCGACGTAGCTTTCATAGGCCGGTTCCAGCTCTTTTGCTACTTTTCGAGCCTTGTTCCACTCTTCCGCACTAATAAAGGTATCGATTGCCTCTTTCATCATGTCCATGCTAATGTATAACTGTGCAGCCACTCCGTGTTCACCTATTTCGACTAGCCTTGGCGACAATACTTTAATAATATCAAGAGCTTCTTGTCCGAAGAGAAACTTATTGACCATATCGGCAGCCCTCAGAAGGGCTCTTTTCACAATCGACGGTTCCGTGATCGTCGTGTTCACCTGAAGGAGACAATCAATCGCTTGTTTGTGTTGACCAGCCAAAGCCCACTCGTTAGCTTTGGAAAGAAGGGTCTCTATATTGACGTCCGACATCTTGTCATGGTGGGAGTTGCTATATTCAGACTGGAGCGTCGGGTACAAGTGGGGCAGATAGTCCTTACAGACTCTGAGTGCATCCACCCACATGTCTACAATAATCGAACGACAATTTTTTTTTTGAGTCAACACACACGAACTTTGTACCTTCACTTTTGTACTTCTGGACTATCAATTCCGGCATTTGCGCTCGCAAAAGTAGTACCTCGAACTCAGAAAACTGTTTGTCGTGGAAACACTGGGCGGCTTGCGCTTGTAATACCTCTGGAACCGACGCGGGTTCGTAGGTTTCCGCAATCCGAAGCGCGTTGATCCAGTTTTTGGAGTGGATGTACATTAGGACCGCCTCTTTGGGCTTCTCGGCTAGTATGAACTCGGATTCGGCTTGCTGGAACTTACCGTCGTCTTCCAGCGCCATTGCGTACTTGTAGTGGACTTCGGTTACCTTCGGCCACAAATGGGTCACCCGTGACATTGATTAAATACATATAGATAGACCCATGCTATTGTTTGGAGCGAACAAGAGATGGCGCACCGACATGCGGCCGCCAAACGCCGGCGAAAAGCTTGTAGATCAATCACGCGCATGTGCAACCCAAATCACAGCAACAATATATTTAATAAATCTACCACTCGATAGAGGGCGACGAAAAAAATGTGTAAAAATCTCATAGTAAACATTTAGATAATTTACAACGTTGGCAGATGAGCCTAACACAACTTTGCCGTTATTTCTAGTCGATTAGATTTTATTTCGTTTAAAAGTTTCTGGTAAATAAATGGAATTATTATAATGAATAAACAATACAAACAAATTATTACTTGTTATTTTAAATACTTGTTAGTGTTGATGAAAACATAAATGGTAATTAAAGTTAAACTACCTAACCCATTTCGACCATTGGACTTTACAACGAATAAGTGAACAAAGTTCTTGAACATCTTAACGATTTAATACATAATGTTCCCGAATCACAAAATTTACATTTCAAATTGTATTATCAAATGGTAAAACACTCACCAAAATTTGTCACGAACAATAAAATGACGCAATCTCCAAATTTTACAATAGTATATCCCCCATTTACGGTTTATGCATCCGTGTCGAGCTTTCACCTTAGACGTCAAGATTTTTGGAAAAAAAATCAACATTTTCCAATTTATAATGTAATTTAAATTTTAAAAACTAGCATAGTCCTGATCTTGTGATTTATAAATACCCTATTCGGATTTTTCAGCTTGTCGATTTCTCAATTTTTCAATATTTCAATTTTGGGCTTTTCCGATTCTTCCATTCTTCAAATTTTCTATTTCTCGATTTTTTTATTTTTCGATTTCTCAATCTTTCGATGTTTCAATGATACGATTTCTCAATTTTTGTCCTCTTCAACTTTACGGTTTTTAAAATATTTCGATTTTTCAATTTTTCAAATTTTCACGTTTCTAAATTTTCAGTTTGCCGATTTCTAAAGTATTTTTTTTATTTGTCCATTTCTGGGCTTCCTAAAGTTTGGATTTTTCACATCTTCAATTCTTCAATTTTTTCGATTTTGCTTTTTTAGATTTTCGATTTCTCAATTTTCCAATTTTTTAATTTCTCAATTTTTTGAATATTTCTTTCAGTTATGAGATTTTTCAATATTTCAATTTTTCGACTTTTCGATTTTTGAATTGATGGATTTTTCAATTCTGCGACTGTTTAATGCTTCGATTTCTCAATTTTTCAACTTTTCGATGTTTTAATATTCCATTTTTTAAAATTCTAGGTTTTTCGATATCTCGAGTTTTCAATTCTTCTATATTTCAATTTTTCAATTTTTCGATTTTTTGAATTTTAATTTTCGATTTTCCTGTTTTTCTTTTTTAAAATTTTTCGATTATTCAATTTTTTAATTTCTCAATTTATCGAATTCAGATATTTCGTTGTTTTGATTGATTTTTAACTTTCCTTTTCGGCTTTCGACTCCTCAATTTCTCGATCCTCCGATTTTTCGATTTCTCGAAGTCTCAGTTTTTGAATTTTTCGATGTTTCGATTTTTGGATTTCTCGGTTTTTAGATTTTTTTCTTTTGAGCTTTTACATTTTTGGATTTTCCAATTTTTCAACGTCCCGATTTTTCAATTTTTCAAATTGAATTGGATTTCTCGATTCTTCAATTTTGCGATATTTTAATTATTCAATGTTTTAAATTTTAGATTTTTCGATTTCTCGATTTTTTGACTTTTCAGTTCTTCAGTATTTAAATTTTTCAATTTTTCAAATTTTTGCGTTAAATTTTCAGTTTTCTGATTTCTCAATTAGTCTATTTTTGATTTTCCCACTTCTCAAAGTTTCGATTTTTCAGTTCTTCAATTCTTCGATTTTTCGACTTCGCTTTATTGGTTTTTCGATTTCTCAATTTTTGGATATTTCTTTCAGTTTTGATATTTTTCAATACTTCGATTCTTTGATTTTTCGACTTCTAGATTTTTCTATTTTTTATTTTTGGATTTTCAGTTTTTTGTTTTTTATACTTTAGATTTTTCAATGTTTCGATTGTTTTATATTTCAATTTCTCAATTTTTCAAATTTTCCATATTTTAATTTTTAAATTTCTAGATTTTTCGGTTTCTCGAGTTTCCAGTTCTATATTTTAATTCTTCAAATTTCCGAATTTTTAAATTTTTTGAGATTTCAATTTATTGAGATTTGGATGTTTCGATGTTTTGATTATTCAATCTCTCGCTTTATCAATTTTTCCATATTTAAGTTTTCAGTTTTTCGATTTTGGCCTATTTCGGTTTCTCAATTTTTTGATTTTTCGACTCCTCGATTTTTTTGTCTTTTGATTTTTCGATTTCTCGATCTCTCAATTTTTGAATTTTACAATGTTTCGATTTTTCGATTTGTTGGTTTTTCGATTTTTGCTTTTCGGTTTCTCGATTTTTCGATGTTTGATTTTTGATTTATCCGATTTTCCAATTTTCCAATTTTTTAAATTTTCCCCTTCTCGATTCGTTGATTTTTCAGTTTTTCGATTTTTAAATTTTAGGATATTTTAAATTTTCAATGTTTTAAATTTTAGATTTTTTGATTTTTTAGTTCTTCAATATTTTTTTATTTTTCAAATTTTCACGTTTCTGAATTTTTAGTTTTCGGATTTCTCAATTAATCTATTTTTTTTTTTTTTCGATGAGCCTAACACAAATTTGCGGATATTTCTCAACCAGATTTTATTTGATTTAGAAGTTTCTGGTAAATAAATGGGATTATTATAATGAACAAATAAAACCAATAAATTGTGATTATTATTTGTTGTTTTAATCCGTTAGACGCTTATAGGCTTATAAACATACTTTTCTTGAAAAATCGGTAATAAATTCAGTGAAGCATCTTTGTGCCTTAATTCCTATTGGTGAATTGTGATTTTGAATAGAGGTCGCAGGAAAATTTTGTATGGTTTTATGGTTTATTTACATAATTTTCTTATTTACAATAAATGTTTTTAATATATAATACAAGTTCTTGATATTATTTAATAAACCATAAAACCACAAAAATCTTTTTTTAACACAAATTATATTTCAATAAATTTTCAGTAGAGAGTTATCGATATACTTAATTGTATTTTACGTCATAAAATGTGAAAGAAAATGTCTTATTTTTGACTTTATGCGGCATATGTTTTCCGTTTTTTAAGATATATTATATGAATGCATATGCTTCGTCTTTAATATATATCTGCCCGTCTCTAGTCTAATAAATTTTCTAAAAAAATATAGTAAGTTTTGAGAAAACGCATTTAAAAGCATTTTCCTTTGTATTATTAGTAACAAAAGCGAGCACACGAAAGCGTAGAAAAAAATTCCAATGTGTTATTTACATTTATTTTATTTCATACTGTGTCAAATTTGACGTTTCACTGGATTAGAAGGAGTCCGGTAAAATAAAAAAAAACGGACAAGTTTTTCATCCATTTTTCCATTTTTCGATTTCTCGATTTTTGGATGTTTCAACTTCTCGTTTTTATATTTTTCGGTTTTTCAATTTTTCATTTTTTTTAATTTTTGGTTTTTCGATTTTTCAAGTTATCAATATTGTTTAAAACTTTAATATTTTCAATTTTTAACTTTCCAATTTTGATCGAAAAATTGAAGAAACCAAAAATTGTACAAACGAAGAATTGTGAAATCGAGAAACTGAAAAACCGAAACATTGTAAAATCGAAACTGAACAAAATATGAAATCAAAAACTGAAGAAACGAAAAATGAAAAAACTTAAAATCACGAAACTGAAAAGCGAAAAATCGGAAAATTGAAAAAACAAAAAGTTGTCAAAAGAAGAATTGTGGCACTGAGAAATTGAAAAGTCGAAAAGACGACATTGTAAAATTGTAAAATGAAGAAACTATAAAATCAAAAATTGAGGAAAACTGAAGAAACGAGAAATCAAAAAATTTAAAATCAAGAAACTGAAAAATGAAGAAAGTGAAAAACCAAAAAATTTAAAATCACGAAACTGAAAAATGAAGAAAGTGAAAAATCGGAAAATTGAAGAAACAAAAAGTTGTAAAAAGGAAGAATTGTGACACTGAGAAATTTAAAAGTCGAAAAAACGACATTGTAAAATTGTAAAATGAAGAAACTATAAAATCAAAAATTGAGGAAAACTGAAGAAACGAGAAATCAAAAAAATTTAAAATCAAGAAACTGAAAAATGAAGAAAGTGAAAAACCAAAAAATTTAAAATCACGAAACTGAAAAATGAAGAAAGTGAAAAATCGGAAAATTGAAGAAACAAAAAGTTGTAAAAAGGAAGAATTGTGACACTGAGAAATTTAAAAGTCGAAAAAACGACATTGTAAAACTGTAAAATGAAGAAACTATAAAATCAAAAATTGAGGAAAACTGAAGAAACGAGAAATCAAAAAATTTAAAATCAAGAAACTGAAAAATGAAGAAAGTGAAAAATCAAAAAATTTAATATCACGAAACTGAAAAATGAAGAAATTGAAAAATCGGAAAATTGAAGAAACAAAAAGTTGTAAAAACGTAGAATTGTGACACAGAGAAATTTAAAAGTCGAAAAGACGACATTGTAAAACTGTAAAATGAAGAAACTATAAAATCAAAAATTGAGGAAAACTGAAGAAACGGAAAATTGAAAAAATAAGCAAGAAAATGAAGAATTAAAATACTGCAAAATAGGAAGATTGAAGGAACGAAAAATTGAAGAATCGAAAAAGTGAGCAAACGAAACATTGTAAAATCGAAAAATTGAAAAATGAAGAAACTGAAAAATAGAAGAATTAAGGACTGGAAAAACTGAATGAGCGAAAATTCAAAAAATTTAAAATCAAGAAATTGAAAAATGAAGAAAGTGAAACATCGGAAAATTCAAGAAACCGAAAGTTGTAAAAAGGAAGAATTGTGACACTGAGAAATAGAAAAGTCGAAAAGACGACATTGTAAAATTACAAAATGAAAAGACTATAAAATCATAAAATTGAGGAAAACTGAAGAAACGAGAAATTGAAAAAATAAGCAAGAAAATGAAAAAAAAATACTGAAAAACCGGAATACTGAAAAAACGAAAAATTGAAGAATCGAAAAACTGAAGAAACGAAACATTGTAAAATAGAAAAATTGAAAAATGAAGAAACTGAAAAATAGAACAATTACGGAATCGAAAAACTGAAGAAACGAAAAATCAAAAAATTTAAAATTAAGGAACTGAAAAATGAAGAAAGTGAAAAATCGGAAAATTGAAGAAACAAAAAGTTGTAAAAAGGAAGAATTGTGACACTGAGAAATTTAAAAGTCGAAAAGACGACATTGTAAAACTGTAAAATGAAGAAACTATAAAATCAAAAATTGAGGAAAACTGAAGAAACGGAAAATTGAAAAAATAAGCAAGAAAATGAAGAATTAAAATACTGCAAAATAGGAAGATTGAAGGAACGAAAAATTGAAGAATCGAAAAAGTGAGCAAACGAAACATTGTAAAATCGAAAAATTGAAAAATGAAGAAACTGAAAAATAGAAGAATTAAGGACTGGAAAAACTGAATGAGCGAAAATTCAAAAAATTTAAAATCAAGAAATTGAAAAATGAAGAAAGTGAAACATCGGAAAATTCAAGGAACCGAAAGTTGTAAAAAGGAAGAATTGTGACACTGAGAAATAGAAAAGTCGAAAAGACGACATTGTAAAATTATAAAATGAAAAGACTATAAAATCATAAAATTGAGGAAAACTGAAGAAACGAGAAATTGAAAAAATAAGCAAGAAAATGAAAAAAAAATACTGAAAAACCGGAATATTGAAAAAACGAAAAATTGAAGAATCGAAAAACTGAAGAAACGAAACATTGTAAAATAGAAAAATTGAAAAATGAAGAAACTGAAAAATAGAACAATTACGGAATCGAAAAACTGAAAAAACGAAAAATCAAAAAATTTAAAATTAAGGAACTGAAAAATGAAGAAAGTGAAAAATCGGAATATTGAAAAAACGAAAAATTGAAGAATCGAAAAACTGAAGAAACGAAACATTGTAAAATAGAAAAATTGAAAAATGAAGAAACTGAAAAATAGAACAATTACGGAATCGAAAAACTGAAGAAACGAAATATCAAAAAATTTAAAATCAAGGAACTGAAAAATGAAGAAAGTGAAAAATCGGAAAATTGAAAAACCGAAAGTTGTAAAAAGGAAGAATTGTGACATTGAGAAATTGAAAAGTCGAAAAGGCGACATTGTAAAATTGTAAAACGAAGAAACTATAAAATCAAAAATTATGGAAAAGAAAATGAAGAATTAAAATACTGTAAAATGGGAGGATTGAAGGAACGAAAAATTGAAAAATGGAAAAACTGAAAAAATATATATATATATATGTTTTATCTTTAGTATATATCTGTCCGTCTCTAGTCTAATAAATTTTCTAAAAAAATATAGTAAGTTTTGAGAAAACGCATTTAAAAGCATTTTCCAATGTGTTATTTACATTTATTTTATTTCATACTGTGTCAAATTTGACGTTTTACTGGATTTGAAGGAGTCCGGTAAAATAAAAAAAACGGACAAGTCCGGTAAAATTGAGCTAAAAAGGACAAGTCCTGTAAAGTGTTATTATGTGTTTAAACATTTTTGATGCTGATTTGCAGGAATAAACAAATTAAAACTTTGCCAAACAGCGATTGCTAACGATGTCAGAAAAAGTGACTCGATTTGAACTTTTTCTCAAAATAGTAATTATTTATCGAAAAAAAAAATATGTTGACAGTATGAAATAAAATCCATAACGACATACGTCCGGTAACTCTTTTCGCAGTACTCGTTTCGAAATTAAAGACTCGGCTTCCTACGGTCGCCTCGTCCTGAAACATCTCACTCGTACTGTAAAATTTGAGTTACCGGACCGTATTTATAATAATGTTAGCACTAACAAATATTTAAAATAACAAGTAATAATTTGTTTGTATTATTTATTTTTATTCATTATAATAATGCCATTTATTTATCAGAAACTTTTAAACGAAATAAAATCTACTTGACTAGAAATAACGGCAAAGTTACTATGAGATTTTTACACATTTTTTTCGTCGCCCTCTATCGAGTGATAGATTTATTAAATATATTGTTGCTGTAATTTGGGTTGCCTATGCACGCCTTTGGCCTGTTAGCTCCAAACAATAGCATGGGTCTATCTATATGTATTTAATCAATGCCCGTGATTAAGGTACTTAATTAAATACTTACCTTAGTTTGTAGGTTTTTGCACAACTGGAAAGCAAACTCGAATTGGTACGTTTCACAGGCGTAGTTGACACACGCGTCTAAAATCCCATACTTATTGAGTAGTTTGATGGCCGAGTCAATGGGGAGAGTGCGGGCCCACAGAAACGCGACCTGACTGGCCGCAGTCGGTCCCCCGTTTTGTTTGGCCACTCTGTAGGCCTCCTCCCACATGGTCAACGTCCTGTACATGTTCATAGCCGCTTTCCATTCGTTAACGGCCAGGAAGTGTATTTCGGCCGCTCGGTATTTCCCTTGCGACTCTAGTTGTTGTCCCAGGTGGAGGTGTGTAGTTTGGAGTAAATCGGGGTGGTACTTCTCCACTAGTCGTACCATGTTATCATACTGTTCGACTTTTTTGTACATCGCTATGGCCAAGTCTGGGGAGTTTACGGAAACGTAGAGGCGCTCGGCCTCTCGGTACTTTCCGTTTTCTTCCAACTGAGTCGCTTTTTTGATGTACATGTCTGCGACTTCGTCTTGTTCTAGGTACTGGGAGGCGAGATTATGCGCCTTTTCCCATTGACCGGCCTCGTTGTACATATCGACAGCTTCTTTGAACATGGAGCACGAAAGGTACAACCTTTCAGCGGTTGAGTACTCTTGAATACCGGCGAAGTGGCTAGCAATGAGCTCGTAGTACTTCTTGACGGAATCAGGGTCATCGATCACTCTTATGATATGGACGGCTTTTTTCCATTGCTTTGCCACAACCGCGGTATCTAGAGCCTTCAAGGTACACCCCGCTTCTATGTAGTGACTAATCGCGGCATCCAGTTGCTTACTTTCAACCAAACTATCACCCCACTCCTCCTCCAAAGTCACGACCTTATCAGGACTGACTTCTCTAGCCAAGTCGACAGCTTTATTCCAAACTTTTCCTTTTCGGTAGCACTCCATGGCCAAATCCGCCTTCTCTAGTTTCTCGTAAATTTCGGCAGCCGCCTCAAACAACTCTTGCTTAATCAAGTTTTTCAAAACCGTCGCCACTAAAGTGTGGTCACTCAACAATTCCGTGTGTTTGAGGAGCAAACTAGGTACCCGGCGCAACTTGTGCGACTTGATGTACATGTTCAAGGCTTGCTCAAACTTGCCTTCTTTCTCCAGGACTTGCCCGACTTGCTCGTACTGGCCGGTTTGCAGCAACAAAGACATGTGTTCCTCTTGGAGTTCGGCGAGTTTGTTGTAGCCTCGTTGCTCAGCAAGCCTTAACGCGTCATCCCACTTGTGCAGCTTCTTGTACATACTCAAAGCACTTTCGATGTCGCCTTGTTCCAGATAAATATTTTCGGCAGTGGTTAAATCCCCAGTTAAAATTGACAATCGGGCCCAAACCTCCGGACTCTCCAGACTATCATGCTTCTCTTTATATTTTTCCGCCATTTCTATAGTTTCTTTGAGAAAGTGCGCCGTTGCCACGTTGCCTAGAGCCGCACTGCATCGTTCCGCCAGTACTAAGTTGTGTTCTTTTAACGCGATTTGGGCTAGGTTGTGCCACATCGCCTCCGCTTCCGACGAATTCCCCATTGATTCTAGAAAAAGCACGGCCCGGCTGTAGTCATTGTCGTTAATGGCCGTTCCTAAAAAAACCTATTAGACAAGTTTTTGGGGTCGTGGTGGTGGTACGCAAATGTTTTGAGCCTATGGGCGGATCATTTTTGCCTGTCGTCACCGAAGGAGGCGGTCCAAATCGTCCAAGGGCAGAATTTGTAGGTAGGCTCAAACTACAACGAAATTTACGTGTTGACCAAATTCTTACCCTAAATTAGTTTTAATTTTATAAATACTTACTCTGAATTAGTTTTAATTTTATAAATACCCTATCTAAAATGTTCAGAATATGATGAGTCTATACTTTTTGATTTACCATTCCATTAATATTTTTTGGATTTGTTTATACATACAGGGTGACTCAAAAAAAATAATGACTGAGTCAATTTATTTTATTGAAGAAATCAAGAATTGCAAAACTGAATACATAGAAAACTTGTCAATTAGTTAGAAAAAAAAAACCTGTCCTGCTCTAATAACATCGAGAATATGCTCAAAATCACACTAATATTAGGTCTAATTGTGCCGACCATACTTATAAAATTCACATTAAAGTAAGTCACGGACATTTTTTGAAGTGTATTACATTTCAAAAAGCAAAAAAAAATGTTCAGTTTATAAACTTCATAATTTTGGTTTAAAGTTTATCAATCATATTTGACGCTTTATTTTATCCGTTCCATTTGTTATCCTTTACTGCGGTCTCTCTTGGGTCGAGGTGTAAGACCGGACCGAACGTTCTTCGACCGATAGGATAATTTATTACTTCCGACATCTTTTCGGTGACAAATTTAATCTTTGCATACTTCAGCGTAGTTAGTGAACTCGTTGTGACCACTGAAATATACAAAGAGTAAATTTTGAAATGGAACGAAAGTCGAAGAATACTTTCAAAGCCACGATCAAAATGTATTTGCTTATCTTCGCCAAAAAATGCATGACGTCATCGTAAAATTTGATATGATGAGTCTATACCTGTGATTTATCATTACAGTAATATTTTTTAGATTTACTTATACAGCCTGTCTCAAAAAAAGGTCACTTCGATTTTCGATTTTTCGTTTTTTCGACCAACAGTTTCATCGAATTAGATTTTTCAGTTTCCATTTTTCTATCAACTTTTCGATTTTATTACTTTCCAATTTTCTGATTTTTCAAGTTTGCGGTATTTTGAATTTTCGAGTTTTCAGTTTTTTCGATTTTTTAATTTTTCGATGTTTCGATTTTTTGATTTGCCATTCTTTCAATTTTCGATTTTTCGTCTTTCCATTTTTAGATTTTTGGATTTTTCTGTTCGTCAGCTTTGAGACTTGGCAATTTTTTTGCATTTTTCGATTATATTTTACTTTCCGATTTTTTTGATTTTTGAATTCTCGATTTTTCAATTTTCCGGTTTTTTAATTCTTCTATTCTCGATTTTTCGATTTTCCATTAATCATTAAATTTTCCATTTTTCGGTTGTTTTATTTTTCGACCTTTGATTTTTCAACTTTCTATTATTCGATTTTCCATTTTCTGATTTTACGATTTTTCGATTTGCGATTTTTCGATTTTCGTTTTTCCGGTTTTGTGGTTTTTAGATTTTTCTGTTTGTTTCAGTTTTTATGGTTCTGCAATTTGTTTTATTTTTCCATTTTTCGATTATTTTACTTTCCGATAGTTTGATTTTTGAATTTTCGGTTTTTCCATTTTTCGATTTGGGATTTTTCAATTTTTCGGTTTTTTAATTTTTCATATTTCGATTTTCGATTTTTCAGATTTGTGGATTTGTGTCCGTTTTTTCGATTTTTAGAATATTGATTAATCGAATTTTCGATTTTTGAGCATTTCGATTTTTCGATTATCATTTTTACGATTTTTCAAAATCTCGATATTCGAGTTTTCGATTTTCCATTTTTCAAATTTTCAATTTTTAATTTTGCTTTTTTCGATTGTTGCTTTTTAGAATTTTCCCTTCTTCAGCTTTTAGATTTCAATTTTGTTACTTTCCGATTTTCCATTTTCGATTTTATTTTTTTCGATTTTCATTTTTCCGATTTTTTGATTTTTCAATTTTTAGGCATTGCAATTTTTTTTACTTTTCGCTTTTTCGAGTATTTGTTTCATCGAATTTTCGATTTTTCGAGTTTTCGATTTTCGATTTTTCGGTTTTTTCATTTTCTGATTTTCCATTTTTAGATATTTTTCGATTTTTCTGTTCGTCAGTTTTGAGACTTTGCAATTTTTACTTTTCCACTTTTCTATTATTTTAGTTTTGGATTATTCGATTTTTGAATTTTGTTTTTTTTTCATTTTTCGATTTCCGATTTTTTAATTTTTCGATTTTTCGGTTTTTTAATTTGTCGATTCTCGATATTCCGATTTTCGATTTTTCGATTTTCCAATCTTCGATTTTTCAATTTCCAGTTTTCGATTTTCCACTTTTTGATTTTACGATTTTTCGATTTTTCTGTTCGTCAGTTTTTAGGCTTTGCAATTTGTTTACTTTTCGATTTTTCGATTATTTTACTTTCCAATTTTTTGATTTTTGAATTGTCGACTTTTAGAGTTTTCAATATTATGAATTTTCGAATTTTCGGTTTCCCTATTTTTCGATTTTTGATTTTTCCATTTTTCGGTTTTTTGATTTTTCAATTCTCGGTTTTTCAATCTTGCAAAGTTTCGATTTTTCAGATTTGTGAATTTACAGTTTTTCGATCGACCTACGTATTAGATTCATTGAATTTTCGATTTTCGGCTTTTCCATTTTTAGATTTTTGATTTTCCAGTTTTGTATTTTCAGATTTTCTGTTTTTCGCATATCTGATTTATCAAATTTTCGATTTTTCGGTTTTTCGATTTTTCGATATTTGGTTTTCGAATTTTCGATTGTTCAGTTTTCCATTTTTCAGCTTTTAGACTTCAATTTTTTTACTTTTCGATTTTCCAAATTTTCGAGTTTCAATTATCAGATTTTTGATTTTTCGATTTTCTTTTTAAATCTTTGAATTTTTCGGTTTTGATTTTTCGAATTTTTGATTTTTAATTTTTCCATTCTTCGGTTTTTAGACTTCAATTTTCTTTCTTTTAAATTTTTCGATATTCTATTTTCCGCTTTTCAGAATTTTCGATTTTCAGTTTTCAGACTTTCGATCATTAGAATTTTGGATTTTTCAGTTTTATGATTTTTCGATTTTTAGAAAATTTGAGTAGTCGAATTTTCGATTTTTCAATTCATTGATTTTTCCATGTTCAATTTTTCAATTTAAATTTTGCGATTTTCAATTTGTCCATTGTCGATTTTTATAATTTTCGGTTTTTCAATTTTTCTATTCTCAACTGTTAGACTTCAATTTTGTTACTTCCCGATTTTTTGGTTTTCGATTTTCCAATTTTCAGAATTTCCAAGTTTCTTTATTCAGATTTTCGATTTTCCACTTTTTCGATTTTAGATTTTTCGAATTTTTGTTTTTCCAATTTTTTGCTTTTTCGATTTTTCTGTTCGTTTCAGTTTTTAGGCTTTGCAATTTTTTCTACTTCATATATATTGATTATTTTAATTTCCGATTTTTTTTATTTTTGTTTTTGATTTTTTTAATTTTCAATATTACTTTTCGATTTTTTGGTTTTCCCGTTTTTCAATTTTCGATTTTTCGATTTTTGGGGTTTGTGAATTTCCACTTTTCGATCGACCTAGGTATTTCATTCATTGAATTTTCGATTTTTTAATTAGCCATTTTATTTTTTTGATTTTTACGATTCGTATTTTTCGATTTTCTGTTTTTTGCATTTGTGAATTTCATTTTGTCAGATTTTTGATTTTGCGCATATTAATCAAATTTTCGAAAAAGTTACCATGCTTACAAAAACTTCAAAACATCTACAATATTTCAAAGCATTCAATTTTGCTATTCTTGATTTCTTCAATAAAATAAATTGACTCAGTCATTAACTTTTTTGAGACACCCTGTATAACCAAATCTAAAAAATATTAATGCAGTGATAAATCACAAGTATAAAAACTCATCATATTTTATACATTTAAGATAGGATTTATTCTGCAAAATTTTGAGGTGACGTCATAAATTTTTTAGAGGGGACACTCGACAATATCGTTTTTTATTTATTTATTTATTTATTATGAACATTTAAGAGTATTTTATTGGAAAAAGTGATGAAATTTTTTATACGGAACAATTGGTCGAAAGATGTTAGAAAGCAAAATAATTCCTGTCCGTACCATCGTTACTCACGAACGAAAGTGACCATTATTTTATGGGAACAACTACCTGCTAAATCTTCTCCGACAAATTTGAGAGAACTGGTGTGAGCCATAAATACTTCTTACCAAATGTAAATTTCGTTGTAGTTTGAGCCTACCTACAAATTCTGCCCTTGAAGGATTTGGACCGCCTTCTTCGGTGAGGGCAGGCAAAAATGATCCGCCCATAGGCTCAAAACATTTGCGTGCGATTGTACCAAATTCCACTAGGCCTTCGTCCAACTCTAGATTAATTATGTTGTTACCGTCCACGCAAACGGCTTCAGTTTTGCCGTTGTTTCGTACCACGTCGGTCACGTCACCTTTCACGTTCATTATAGTCGGGTTTTCGGGTAGGTCAATGTTGTACCAAATGGCTAAACTAGTACCGGCTTGGGCTACCGCCACGTCGCTACCCTCCACCCACTGCACGAAACTAACCCCGGTGAAAATACACTGCTTTTGTTGCGTGGTGGTGTCCACTAGTACTAATCTACAACCCGAAATTAGCAAAAATCTCCCATTTCACAAAAGTACCTTTGTTTTTTGTCCCGGAAGAGTAACTTAAGCCCGGTTTCGTTCAACTCCAGCCAGTCGATCTTTGAATCGTGGGTGATCTGCGCCATCAACATCCCCGTCATCAAATCCACTATACATATAGTTTTCAAGTCTAACAAATAGGCTAATTTTTTGTTATCAGTGGTTTGGTGACGTTCATTTAGACGCACGCTAATCAAATGAGGGTTGGCAAACTCGGTCCGAACCGAGCAAAGAACGTCGTTGTCGCCATACTCGATCAGAGTGAGTTCGCCTGCATTGAAAACCAAACACACGGTCGCATAATCAAAGTAGAATTTTTCGTGGCGACCGGAGTTATTCCACGGTACCTTCAAAATTAAAATAAAAAACCCTTATAGTGACTAAATTAACAAAACCCAAACTAACTTCGCTCAGTAAATTCCGCTGCAAATCCACCACCAAAAGCGTCTCGTCTGTACGTGCCACAAAATAAAAGTCTTTTCCCATGATTTTGACGTCATCAATTTCGCCGCCATTTTGCGACTTTATGATAACCCCGCGCTCGTTGGCATCCATAGCTTTGACAAGGACTTGACTCGGGCCGACGTAAGTTATCTCGTACTTGTCCTTCCAGACGGTCCTTTTTAACACTAGAGTGACAAAAACAAATATGAAAAAACGGCGCCATCTTGTCAAAATGGCTGACCTGACTCAAACAGCATAACCACACCGCATAAACCGCCGCACGTCATTCTCGACCCGTCGCGCTTCCAAGCCAACGCCGTCACAGTATACAAATTCTTAATCTCTTTAGACGGCGCCTCCTCCCATAGAGACCTCCTCGTGTTCCAAATGTACAACCTCAGACGATCGAAGCTACCCATGACCACGGCCTGTCCACCAATCAGATTTAATCATACGACAAGCGTGTTTCTACTCACTTGGCCGCTGGGACTGCACGTGGCAATGGTGAATTCGTGCTCGTCTAGATCCTTGCTATAGTCGAAATTTTTGACGAGCTTGCCGGCGTTGCTGTATATAGAGACTCTTTTGTCGCAGCCGGCGACGAAGATGTGTCCTTGGGCCCACGCTATGGCGCACGGCGGGACCGAGTAGAGGATGACGCGTCCTTGAGCTTCGTCTTCGTTGTAGTCGTTGGATACGTAGAAACGTATGACGTTGCCGTCGACGTGACCGGATAGGAAACCGGTGCCTTTGGAGTTGGAGCAGAGGGAGACCACGAGGCTGTCGGAGGCGAAGAGGCTTTGGGATTTGTTGGATTTGGTTTGGAGGGCGCGGACTTTGCCGTCGGCTAGGCCGCAGATGATGGGGCCGGTGGAGAGCCAGAGGATGCAGATTACGGGGGAGGGTTGGGGGAATTTGTTGCAGATTGCCTAAAATATCACGTGGTTATTATTATTATTATTTTATGAAATGCAAAAATTTGACAAGTTTAGTTGAGTCCCCGCCCACCCACCCTCTCTTTTCATAGAGGATATGTCATTTGCCAAAGTCAGTCTCATCTTAGCAGGTACTAGCCCCACCCACCCACCCTCTCTTTTCTTAGAAAATATGTCATTTGCCAAAATCAGTCTTAACAGGTACACAGTTGTTTAACATTTTACAATTTAAGTTTAAATTTGCAAAATTGAGTGCTTCGAAATCTTATGGTAAATCACTAATCTCAAAATTTATCCGTTCATCAACCGTTTTGAAGTTTCTTATAGTTTTGGGATTTTTCAATTTTTCGATTCTTCAATTTTTTATCCATTTTTCCATTTTTCGATTTCTCGATTTTTGGATGTTTCTCGTTTTTATATTTTTCGGTTTTTGAATTTTTCAATTTTTTTAATTTTTGGTTTTTCGATTTTTCAGATTATCAATATTGTTTAAAACTTTAATATTTTCAATTTTTAACTTTCCGTTTTTGGCCGAAAAATTGAAGAAGCCAAAAATTGTACAAACGAAGAATTGTGAAATCGAGAAACTGAAAAACCGAAACATTGTAAAATCGAAACTGAACAAAATATGAAATCAAAAACTGAAGAAACGAAAAATGAAAAAACTTAAAATCACGAAACTGAAAAATGAAGAAAGTGAAAAATCGGAAAATTGAAAAAACAAAAAGTTGTAAAAAGAAGAATTGTGACGCTGAGAAATTGAAAAGTCGAAAAGACGACATTGTAAAATTGTAAAATGAAGAAACTATAAAATCAAAAATTGAGGAAAACTAAAGAAACGAGAAATTGAAAAAATAAGCAAGAAAATGAAGAATTAAAATAACGAAAAATCGGAAGATTGAAGGAACGAAAAACTGAAAAATCGAAAAACTGAACAAACGAAACATTGTAAAATCGAAAAATTGAAAAATGAAGAAACTGAAAAATAGAAGAATTAAGGAATCGAAAAACTGAAGGAGCGAAAAATCAAAAAATTTAAAATCAAGAAACTGAAAAATGAAAAAAGTGAAAAATCGGAAAATTAAAGAAACCAAAGATTGTAAAAAGGAAGAACGCGAAATTAAGAAATTGAAAAGTCGAAAAGACGACATTGTAAAATTGTAAAATAAAGAAACTATAAAATCAAAAATTCAGGAAAACTGAAGAAACGAGAAATTGAAAAAATAAGCAAGAAAATGAAGAATTAAAATACTGAAAAATCGGAAAATTGAAGGAACGAGAAATTGAAGAATCGAAAAACTGAACAAACGAAACATTGTAAAATCGAAAAACTGAACAAACGAAACATTCTAAAATCGAAAAATTGAAAAATGAAGAAACTGAAAAATAGAAGAATTAAGGGATCGAAAAACTGAAGAAACGAAAAATCAAAAAACTTAGAATCAATGAACTGAAAAATGGAGAAAATGAAAAATCGGAAAATTGACAAAACCGAATGTTGTAAAAAGGTAGAATTGTGACACTGAGAAATTGAAAAGTCGAAAAGACGACATTGTAAAATTGTAAAATGAAGAAACTATAAAATCAAAAATTGAGGAAAACTGTAGAAACGAGAAATTGAAAAAATAAGCAAGAAAATGAAGAATTAAAATGCTGAAAAATCGGAGGAATGAAGGAACGAAAAATTGAAGAATTGCAAAACTGAACAAACGAAACATTGTAAAATCGAAAAAAATGATGAAACTGAAAAATAGAAGAATTAAGGAATCAAAAAACTGAAGGAGCGAAAAATAAAAAAATTTAAAATCAAGAAACTGAAAAATGAAGAAAGTGAAAAATCGGAAAATTGAAGAACCCAAAAGTTGTAAAAAGGAAGAATTGTGACATTGAGAAATTGAAAAGTCGAAAAGGCGAGATTGTAAAATTGTAAAATGAAGAAACTATAAAATCAAAAATTGGAGAACACTGAAGAAACGAGAAATTGAAAAAATAAGCAAGAAAATGAAGAATTAAAATGCTGAAAAATCGGAAGATAGAAGGAACGAAAAATTGAAGAATCGAAACACTGAACAAACGAAACATCGTAAAATCGAAACAATGAAAAATGAAGAAACTGAAAAATAGAAGTATTAAGGAATCGAAAAACTAAAGAAACGAAAAATCAAAAATTTTAAAACCAAAAAATTTAAAATCAAGAAACTGAAAAATGAAGAAAGTGAAAAATCGGAAAATTGAAGAACCCAAAAGTTGTAAAAAGGAAGAATTGTGACACTGAGAAATTGAAAAGTCGAAACGACGACATTGTAAAATTGTAAAATGAAGAAACTATAAAATCAAAAATTGAGGAAAACTGTAGAAACGAGAAATTGAAAAAATAAGCAAGAAAACGAAGAATTAAAATACTGAAAAATGGGAGGATTGAAGGAACGAAAAATTGAAGAATTGTAAAACTGAACAAACGAAACATTGTAAAATCGAAAAAAATGAAGAAACTGAAAAATAGAAGAATTAAGGAATCAAAAAACTGAAGGAGCGAAAAATCAAAAAATTTAAAATCAAGAAACTGAATCATGAAGAAAGTGAAAAGTCGGAAAATTGAAGAAACCAAAAGTTGTAAAAAGGAAGAACTGTGACACTGAGAAATTGAAAAGTCGAAAAGACGACATTGTAAAATTGTAAAATGAAGAAACTATAAAATTAAAAATTGAGGAAAACTGAAGAAACGAGAAATTGAAAAAATAAGCAAGAAAATGAAGAATTAAAATACTGAAAAATCAAAAGTTTGAAGGAACGAAAAATTGAAGAATGGAAAAACTAAACAAACGAAACATTGTAAGAAAAATTGAAAAATGAAGAAACTGAAAAATAGAAGAATTAAGGAATCGAAAAACAGAAGGAGCGAAAAATCAAAAAATTTAAAATCAGGAAACTGAAAAATGAAGAAAGTGAAAAATCGGAAAATTGAAGAAACCACAAGTTGTAAAAAGGAAGAATTGTGACAGAGAAATTGAAAAGTCGAAAAGACGACATTGTAAAATTGTAAAATGAAGAGACTATAAAATCATAAAATTGAGGAAAACTGTAGAAACGAGAAATTGGAAAAAATAAGCAAGAAAATGAAGAATTAAAATACTGAAAAATCAGAAGATTGAAGAAACGAAAAATTGAAAAATGAAGAAACTGAAAAATAGAAGAATTAAGGAATCGAAAATCTGAAGAAACGAAAAATCAAAAAATTTTAAATCAAGAAACTGAAAAATGAAGGAAGTGAAAAATCGGACAATTGAAGAAACCAAAACTTGTAAAAAGGAAGAATTGTGACACTGAGAAATTTAAAAGTCGAAAAGACGACATTGTAAAATTGTAAAATGAAGAAACTATAAAATCAAAAAATTGAGGAAAACTGAAGAAACGAGAAATTGGAAAAATAAAAAAGAAAAAGAAGAATTAAAATGCTGAAAAATCGGAATATTGAAAGAACGAAAAATTGAAGAACTGAAAAATAGAAGAATTAAGGAATCGAAAAACTGAAGAAAGAAAAATCAAAAAATTTAAAATCAAGAAAGTGAAAAATTGAAGAAATCAAAAATTGTACAAAGGAATAATTATGAAATTGACTATTTCGACTTTCCGATTTTTCGATTTCCCAATTTTTCGACATTTCATTAGGAATTTGGCAATTTCTCGATTTTTCAGTTTTTCGATTCTTCAATTCTTGGATTAATCGATTTTTTGGTTTTCCGAATGTTTTGGTAAAATCAGTCTTATCTTAGCAGGTACTAGCCCCGCCCACCCACCCTCTCGTTTCTTAGAAGATATGTCATTTGCCAAAATCAGTCTTAGCAGCTACTAGCCCCACCCACTCGCCCTTTCTTTTCTGAGAAGGTATCTCATTCGCCAAAATCAGCCTTATCTTAGCAGGAACTAACCCCACCCACCCACCCTCTCGTTTCTTAGAAGGTATGTTATTTGCCAAAATCAGTCTTATCCTAGCAAGTACTAGCCCCAGTTTTATCTTAGAAGGTACTAGCCCCGCCCACCAGCCCTCTCTTCTCTTAGATCGTATCTCATTTGCCAAAATCAGTGTTATATTGGCAGCCACTAGCACCGCCCACACACGCTCTCTTTTCTTAGAGGGTGAAAAATAGAAAACTTTAAAGTCGAGAAGCTGAAAATGGAAAAGTTGAAAAATCGCAAAATTAAAAATCGAAGAACTGAAAACTGGAAAATTTAAAATTCAAAAATTCGAAAAATTGAAAAATAGAAAAAACGAATAACCGAAAAATCGAGAAATCGAAATTTTCAAATGTTGAAAAACCTAAAAATCCAAAATTCGGAAACGCTAAAAATTAAAAAATTGAAAAATCGAGAAAATGGAAACGCGAAAATTTTGAAAACTGAAAAATTGAACTGAGGAATCGAAAACTGAAAAATCGAGAAATTGAAAAGTTGAAAAAACCGAAAAATTGAAAAGTTGAGAAATCGGAAAGTCGAGACATCAAAATGACCCAAAACCGAAAAATTAGAGATTGAAAACCCAAAAATTTTAAAGTAAAAAGAATTCAAAGTACCGAAAAATTGGAAAATCGCGAAATTGAAAAATCGAATAATGGAAAGGTCAAAATCTCGATAAACCGAAAAATCGAAACACTGAAAAATTTCAAAATCGAAAAACTGAAGAAATAAAAATTGAAAAATTCAAAAGTTCAAAAATTGAAAAATCTAAAAATATCGAAACATTGAAAAATCCAAAAATTAAAACGCGAGAAACTGAAAAACCAAAAAATTGTAAAATATAATCATTTAGGAAAAGACAATTTGAAAAATCGAAAAAACTAGAAAAGGGAAACATTTTAACACTGAAAAGCTAAAGAAATGAATAACTGAAAGATTTAAAAATTCAACAGTTTACGAAGTCGGAAAACTGAAACATCCAACAATTTTAAAAATTAATGGAGAACTTGAATAGTTACATATAAATTGAGAAATCAAAAATTTGAAAAATCGGAGAACTGAAAAATCAAAATCTGAAAAATCGAAAATCTTAAAAAATAGGAAAATTAAAAAGCGAGAAATTGAAAAATCGAAACACTGAAAATTGGGCCCAGAAACAGAAAAATGGAAAATCGAAAAACTGAAGAAATGAAGCAACGAAAAATTGAAAAATTGAAAAGTCTGAAATTTGGAAAATTTTAAATTGAATACAAAAAATTGCAAATCAAGGAACCAAAAAATTTAAAAATTAAAAATCGAGGAACTAAAAACTTGAGAAAACGAAAAGTTAAAAAATTGAAAAATTTGAAATATTTGAAAATCGAAGAACTAAAAAATAGAAAAATTAAATATCCAAAAACTGAAAAATGTACAAATTATAACATCGAAAAATTTCAAATCGAAAAAGTGTAGAAATGAAAAACCGAAAAATTTAACATAGAATTAAACTTTTCAAAAAACGTAAATTCAAAGTTGAAAAATACAAATTTTAAAAATTTGAGATCAAACAAAAAATTGTAAAAATAGATCGATCAACTGAAAAATCGAAAAATTACAACGCGAGAAACTGAAAAACCAAAAAATTGTAAAATATAATTATTAAGGAAAAGACAATTTGAAAAATCGAAAAATATAGAAAATGGAAAAATTTTAACACTGAAAAGTTAAATTTAAAAATTTAACAGTTTACAAATTCAGAAAACTAAAAAATCCAATAATTTTAAAAATGAAAAATTAAAATATCTACAGATTAGAACATTGGAAGACTAAACACGAAAAACTGTAAAATCGATAATTGAAAAATTTGAGACAGAACGCTCGAAAAATCGAAAATCGAGAAACTCAAAAATAGAAAAATTAAAAATCGGGAACCTGAAAATTCGAAAAATGAAAATATATAGAAGTTGAAAAATTGTAAAAACGAAAAATTGCAATTCGAAAAATTTCAAAATTTAAAAGTTGGAAAAATTTGAGCAGTTACATATAAATTGAGAAAACGAAAATTTGAAAAATCGAAGAACTGAAAAATCAAAATCTGAAAAACCGAAAAACTTAAAAAATAGGAAAATTACAAAAGCGAGAAACTGAAAAATCGAAATACTGAAAATTGGGCCCAGAAACAGAAAAATGGAAAATCTAAGAATTGAAGAAATGAAGCAACGAAAAATTGAAAAATTGAAAAGTCTGAAATTTGGAAAATTTTAAATTGAATACAAAAAATTGCAAATCAACGAACCAAAAAATTTACAATTTAAAAATCGAGGAACTAAAAAATTGAGAAAACGAAAAGTTGAAAAATTGAAAAATTTTAAATATTTGAAAATCGAAGAACTAAAAAATGGAAAAATTTAATATCCAAAAACTGAAAAGTGTACAAATTATAACATCGAAAAATTTCAAATCGAAAAAGTGTAGAAATGAAAAACTGAAACATTTAACATAGGATTAAACTTTTCAAAATACGTGAATTCAAAGTTGAAAAATAGAAATTTTAAAAATTTGAGATCAAACAAAAAATTGTAAAAATAAATCGATCAACTCGAAAATTGAAAAATTACAACGCGAGAAACTGAAAAGCCAAAAAATTGTAAAATATAATTATTAAGGAAAAGACAATTTGAAAAATCGAAAAATATAGAAAATGGAAAAATTTTAACACTGAAAAGTTAAATTTAAAAATTTAACAGTTTACGAATTCAGAAAACTGAAAAATCCAATAATTTTAAAAATGAAAAATTAAAATATCTACAGATTGGAACATTGGAAGATTGTAAACACGAAAAACTGTAAAATCGATAATTGAAAAATTTACGACTGAACGCTCGAAAAATCGAAAATCGAGAAACTCAAAAATAGAAAATTAAAAATCGGGAACCTGAAAATTCGAAAAATGAAAATATCTAGAAGTTGAAAAATTGTAAAAACGAAAAATTGCAAATCGAAAAATTTAAAAATTTAAAAGTTGGAAGAATTTGAACAGTTACATATAAATTGAGAAAACGAAAATTTGAAAAATCGAAGAACTGAAAAATCAAAATCTGAAAAACCGAAAAACTTAAAAAATAGGAAAATTACAAAAGCGAGAAACTGAAAAATCGAAATACTGAAAATTGGGCCCAGAAACAGAAACATGGAAAATCTAAGAATTGAAGAAATGAAGCAACGAAAAATTGAAAAATTGAAAAGTCTGAAATTTGGAAAATTTTAAATTGAATACAAAAAATTGCAAATCAAGGAACCAAAAAATTTACAGTTTAAAAATCAAGGAACTAAAAAATTGAAAAAACGAAAAGTTGAAAAATTGAAAAATTTGAAATATTTGAAAATCGAAGAACTAAAAAATAAAAAAATTAAATATCCAAAAACTGAAAAGTATACAAATTATACCATCCAAAAATTTCAAATCGAAAAAGTGTAAAAATGGAAAACTGAAAAATTTAACATAGGATTAAACTTTTCAAAAAACGTGAATTCAAAGTTGAAAAATAGAAATTTTATTTTTTATATTATTTTATTTTTATCTTAGCAAGTACTTACTAATGACTAACTTTAAAAAAAAATGATCAAAATTTGGAAACATTACAAAAAAGACCGATTTTGGCAAATCGCATACCTTCTAAGAAAAGGGAGGGCGGGCGGGCGGGGCTAGTACCTGATAAGATAAAACTGATTTTGGCAAATGACATACCCGCTAAGAAAAGAGAGGGTGGGTGGGCGGGGCTAGTAGCTGTTAAGATTGTTTAAAAAAAAATGGGGTCCCAAAATTAATTCAAAAACAGGTCAGGTCAGAATTTTCCAAAAATAGAACACCAAAGTTCTCCAAAATTGTTTCAAATAAAAAAACACGAGCTCCTTTAAGGACATTTTAAACGTAGGGTTTTGAAAACTTTGACAATTTATATTTATTAATACATATTCTATTTATAGTTATTGTGATATTGAATGTGTTCTTTAGTTGTTAACCATAACAAAAGAACCAATTTTAAAATCATTATAAGTCCACCAAAATGTGAGAGGGATTTTTTTTACAATTTTTCCCAGACTGACCAGTTGTGCGTCATCTTCCAGACACCCGGTATAGAACTTTGGCTCAATGGTTGTCCACTCTCCCATACCTTCCAAATACGTCAAAGAAAAAGCCGAGACTCCGATAAATATATTTAGGTTAATTACAAACGACAAAAAATATTGATCTTCATCTCTATTGATTTCCAGTCAATGCAGCAAACATTTTTTAAATAATTTTTTGTAATTTGTTCCAAAATTACCGTTAATACATGCCGCGAGATTTTTTTCAACAAAAATTAATTGACATATGATTGACATCCAAAGTCCCTAGATAAAAAATAGTGACTTTTTGATTGGCGTCTTGGCGTCTTCACCCTAACCTAACTTAACTCACACTTATTTACCCATTGTTTACCCACGCCCCATGTGCTACCCAAACTTAACAAAACACAAATAAAAAAACGTGTTACAATTTACGCCCCCATGGCAGGCACTCAGTGCGGCGAATGCAAAAAATCCTTCTCAAAAATCGGAAATCTGCGTGCCCACGTGAAGAGAGCGCACCCAGGTACTAGCATCATTTTTACCCCCAAAATCCGCAACATAACCTACAATTCCCATTTCAGACAAACTAAATGTTTTGGCCCCAAAAAAGACCTACGCGCCCGTCGCCACCTGCATCGAGTGCAACAACACCTTCGTGAACACCAGCAACCTGAACGCCCACATTCGAACAAAGCACCCCGATCTGATCAAAAGTATAACCACAGCCCCCATTTTCGCCCCCTACTTCTCATTTTCTTGCAGATAAAGCCCAGTGCGAGATATGCAAAAGCGAAAATAAAAAATCGTCGGCGTTCTGCAAGCACGTGAAGAACCATAAGAACGCCAGACGGATGAATTGCAGTTTGTGCCGGGTGTTTAGCGACAGTTCGAAGGCCAATCTTCTGGAACACTACAAGCAAGCGCACGAAATTAAACTAGAGTACGAGGAAGTCGCGTTTTCGTCATTCAACGAGTTCTTGCTATGGAAGCAGAGGATTGAAAAAGACACCCAAGCGTCTTTTGTCACGATGCACGGCTCGAGTAAAACTAAGTCTCATACACTGATCCGGTATAGTTGTCACAGATCTGGAGAATTTAGAAGAAAAGGGAGTAATAAAAGAAAATTGAAGAAACAAGGGAGTAATAAAATTGACGCGTTTTGTCCAGCTAGTATGAAAGTCACGATTAAAAACGAGCGCTGCGAGGTGGTTTTTCAGAGAAGTCACGTTGGTCATAAACAAGAACTAAGACACTTGTTTTTGACTTCTGAAGAACGACAAAAAATAGCGTCTGAAATCGCGTCAAAGGTGCCTTTTGACACGATTTTGGAAAGAGTGCGCAATTCTGTTATGAATGCAGAATCTCCAAGACTAAATTTATTGACAAAACAAGACTTATACAACATCCAGAAAAGCCTACACCTGAATAGAGAAATCTCGCATCGTGATATCAACCTTGAAGACTGCATAAATGAGATGGAAGAAAATGGTATTGTATGTTCTATATTGTAATGTCAAATTTAAAATTAATTTGTTTGATTTGTTATTTCCAGCTACTGAAAATGATTTATTCATTGATACGGATCACATAGAAACAGAGGTGCCAGTGGATGCGTTGATTGAACCCCCCACTAAAACCACAAGTGTGGAAAGTACTGGAAACACGTTTCTTGAGAGAAAAAAGCAAGTGTTGGCGGAAGTTTTAGATATTTGCGAGAGCGTCTCAACTCCTGAAGAACTAGAAGTTATAGAGAAGTGTTTGGAGTCTATTAGGAAATCTATAGAAGAGCTAAGGCCTCAGAATTCGTGAAATGATGAAGACAACAAATGACGGAAGATTCCAATGACAGTTGTCTCCTACACAAAAAAATTGTATTGAGAATCTGATAATAAAGTATTGGTTGTGAAACTGAATTGAAATAAACTGTGATACTGTGTATGTTTTTTTCGAACAACGAATAAAAATTATCGAGTGACATACTGTGATTTTCTTTTGTCAGGTTGGCGACATTTTTAAAATTTTATGATGGCTTGCCAAATTGACATTTATGACAAGTCAGTATGTCACTGTCTCTACCAATCAACACGCTTGTTGGGCGTGATCATGTCAAAACTGACAACCGTGAACTAGAATTCTAGCATGGTTGCCACTAATTCAGAACTACCAACAGAGAAATTTGTTTAAATCATCAATAATATATTTTTTCAATACCAACAAATGAACAAATTTAGTCCTTTTTAAATAAAAAATTCGTCACCTTGAACAAATGTACAAGACGATGTAGAAGTTTTCATTAAAAAAAAATAAACTAGCGGTTTCTTTGGTTATGTACAAAAATTTCGCAAAAATAAGCACAGATTTGTAATCCCGAACAAATTTCCAATAGAATCACCGTCGTTTCATACCGTTTTGATTCATTTTAATTTTGTCGTAAAAAAATGGATATATCTTTTTCACTTAGATTTAGATTTATTATTAGTTTCCACTCCCACTCGACAGAAGAACATAATTAGACCCGCCCACCCACCCTATCTCTTAATCAGTGATTACTCATATTCGATTTGAATGAAATGAATTATCTTATACTGACCAGAAATAAAATTAGGGGCTAGTACTTGCTAAAATAGGAATGAGTTTGGCAAATGACATACCTTCCAAGAAAAGAGAGGGCGGGTGGGCGGGGCTAGTATTTAATAGAGCAGCTTTCAACACAAAAGGGTACAGGTGGTGGGAGTGCGCAGAACATTGTTTTGGTTTGGCCTCACAAATATCGTGCAAGCAGTGGCAGCGGCGATGAATATTTCGATTTTGAAATATTAAAATATTATTGCGGTTAATAAAAATATCACTTTTCTATTTTATTAGCGTTGACATTATAGAAAAAGAATTTAAACAATTATTAGTGCTGTATTTGATGTATGAGTTGAATAAAAAAGTAAGTAAAAGAAGTAAAAAGGTAATTTTTAGTGAGCAATAATTACTGTTAAATTACGGTACAGTCGAAGCTCTAGTTATAAACGACAATTGACCCTTTTCCTGTAAGATCGTAAAACTTCCATAGTGACTTTTCGTGCGCACGCATCTTCAAAACCACGTTGGAAATTGTATCCGGCACTCCGGCAGAAGAGCAAAGGCCTGTGACAACAAACCGCTTTGACAGAATGCAACCGGCTACACATGCGTAATCTGTCGCTCATTGGTTAATTTAAACTTGGCGCTCCAAAAATCTGACTTCGCCTGCGCGATGTTGTCTCACTCTGTGTCATTGGAATTTATATAATGTCTACTCACTTTGCTTACAGGAAAAGGGTCAATTATGCTAGAATACGAACTGCGATTATTACTTCAATGTTAAAGACAGAAAACGTTACGCCTTATTATAATCCGACTTTATGGTATCGATAAATTGTGCCAGAAAATTAAAAACCATATAATTATAGTCATAGGTTGCTTATTCTCAGAGTTTTAAGCCCGCTTTTATCTAAAGATTTAACTGTTGCTTTAAGACTAGTCGACTATAAAATAGTACATATATGATACTGGTTTATAATGAGGGATTCGTGAAATTTTTTACTCATGCTATAATCCCTCACATTATAAACTCGTTTAATAATTAAAAATACCAAATTTTGTGTGATAGATTATCATAATTTATTGTTACGTAAGTCTATTTTTTTACCAAACAAATAAATTTATTTTTATTAAATGGTTGTCTGTATTCTTTTGTGGAAATTGCTCTATTTTTAATTGTTTTTGAAAGAAATGTAACTCAGCCGAAACTCCCTTCTCAATACATCGATGTTACGCCACTGCTAGCCCGACTACAAGTCGCGCATCTTAAGCCCCGCCCCTGTACCTTTTTGTGTTGAAAGCTGCTATTAAGATAAGACTGATTTGGCACTTTTGACATTTTTGAGCATTTTTCAACTATGTATATCCTAAAATTAGTTGAAGACATTTTCGGCTTCGTTTCGTCGGAAATTCCTACCGTTTTTCCAAAATATTTTTTAGATCAAAAAGGAAATTATTATTAATATTTGATCCACAAAATACAACTGTTTCAAGAATGTACTTTGTAGTTTTTATATATTTACAGAAATGTTTAAAATTTGTTTGTTTAGGACAACAGAGATATCAGGCCAGGTCAAGTCACAATAAAAAATAAATTTTATAGCAAATAGTATAACAAAAAAAAGTTACGATTAGCCCTTTTTTTTACTTTTTCCACATCCTAGATTCCATTATTATTAGTTTCCATTCCCACTGGACAAAAAACATAATTAACCCCGCCCACCCACCCTGTCTCCTTTCCAGTGATTGATTTTATCCGATGTGAATGAAATAAATGATCTCATACTGAACAAAAATAAAATTAGTCGTTAGAATGAGAAGAGGGCGGGTGGGCGGGGATAGTAGTTGCTAAGATACGAATGAGTTTGGCAAATGATATACCTTCCAAGAAAATACCGGGTGGGTGGGCGGGGCTAGTATTTGATAAAATAAGACTGAATTTGACACTTCTGAGATTTGCGACAATTTTTCAACAATGTCCCAAAATTAGTTAAAGACATTTTCTAAGTAGACGAAGCCAAAAATGACTTCTGGATTACAAAATCCACAAGATAAAATGTCTTCAACTAATTTTCGGTTGTAGTGAAAAGGGTCGAAAATGTTAAAAGTGTTAAAATCTGTCTTATCTTATCAAATTCTAGCCCCGCCCACCCGCCCTCGATTTTCTTGGAAGGTATATTATTTGCCAAACTCATTCGTATCTTAGCAAGTACTACTGCGTAGTTTTTATATATGTATTTACAGAAATGTTTAAAATTTGTTTATTTAGGACAACGAATAGCGCTTGTATTTAGTGAAATTTCGAAAATTTCGTTGAAAACTGGTCGAAAATTGCTCGTATTTTGCATGGATTTGTACTTTTCAAAGAATTATTCTGGTAAAACCATTGGAGTTATCGCGAAATGAAAGCGGGAGTGAGCTCTATGGCCCAAAATCTATAAAAAAAATGTATTATGTGAAATTTCGAAAATTTCGTTGAAAATTGGTCGAAATTTGGTCGTATTTTGCATATTTTTATATATTTCAAAGGACGATTCTGGAAAAACGATTCGAGTTATCGAAGAAATGAAAGCAGAAGTGACTTCTGCGGTTCGAAATCTACAAGGAAATATATTTAGTGAAATTTCAAAAATTTCGTTGAAAATTAGTCGAAAATTGGTCGTATTTTGCATATTTTTATATATTTCAAAGGAGGATTCTGGAAAAACCATTCGAATTATCGAAAAAATGAAAGCGGATATGACTTCTGCGGCCCGAAATCTACAAGAAAATGTATTTAGTAAAATTTCGAAAATTTTGTTGAAAATTGGTCGAAACTTGGGGTATTTTGTATATTTTTAAATGTTTCGAAAGACGATTCTGGAAAAACCATTGGATTTATCAAAGAAATGAAAGCGGATATGACTTCTGCGACTCGAAATCTACAAGAAAATGTATTTAGTGAAATTTCGAAAATTTTGTTGAAAATAGGTCGAAAATTGGGGTATTTTGTATATTTTTGAATGTTTCAAAGGACGATTCTGGAAAAACCATTAGAGTTATCGAAGAAATGATAGCGGAAGTGACTTCTGCGGCCCGAAATCTACAAGAAAATGTATTTAGTGAAATTTGGAAAATTTTGTTGAAAACTGGTCAAAAATAGGGCGGATTTTGCATATTTTTGAATGTTTCAAAAGACGATTCTGGAAAAACTATTGGAGTTATCCAAGAAATGAAAGCGGAAGTGACTTCTGCGGCCCAAATATTACAAGAAAATGTATTTAGTGAAATTTCGAAAATTTCGTTGAAAACTAGTCGAAAATTGCTCAATATTTTGCATAAATTTTAATGTTTCAACGGACGATTCTGGAAAAACCATTGGATTTATCGAAGAAATGAAAGCGGATATGACTTCTGCGACTCGAAATCTACAAGAAAATGTATTTAGTGAAATTTCGAAAATTTTGTTGAAAATAGGTCGAAAATTGGGGTATTTTGTATATTTTTGAATGTTTCAAAGGACGATTCTGGAAAAACCATTAGAGTTATCGAAGAAATGATAGCGGAAGTGACTTCTGCCGCCCGAAATCTACAAGAAAATGTATTTAGTGAAATTTGGAAAATTTTGTTGAAAACTGGTCAAAAATAGGGCGGATTTTGCATATTTTTGAATGTTTCAAAAGACGATTCTGGAAAAACTATTGGAGTTATCCAAGAAATGAAAGCGGAAGTGACTTCTGCGGCCCAAATATTACAAGAAAATGTATTTAGTGAAATTTCGAAAATTTCGTTGAAAACTAGTCGAAAATTGCTCAATATTTTGCATAAATTTTAATGTTTCAACGGACGATTCTGGAAAAACCATTGTATTTATCGAAGAAATGAAAGCTGATATGACTTCTGCGGCCCGAAATCTACAAGAAAATGTATTTAGTGAAATTTCGAAAATTTTGTTGAAAATTGGTCGAAAATAGGGGTATTTTGCATATTTTTAAATGTTTCAAAGGACGATTCTGGAAAAAACATTGGATTTATCGAAGAAATGAAAGCGGATATGACTTCTGCGGCCCGAAATCTACAAGAAAATGTATTTAGTGAAATTTCGAAAATTTTGTTGAAAATTGGTCGAAAATTGGGGTATTTTGCATATTTTTGAATGTTTCAAAAGACGATTCTGGAAAAACCATTGGAGTTATCGAAGAAATGAAAGCGGATATGACTTCTGCGGCCCGAAATCTACAAGAAAATGTATTTAGTGAAATTTGGAAAATTTTGTTGAAAATTGGTCGAAAATTGGGGTATTTTGCATATTTTTATATATTTCAAAGGACGATTCTGGAAAAACTATTGGAGTTATCGAAGAAATGAAAGCGGATATGACTTCTG